CCTATAACTAAATTCGCCTTATTTATTATCTGATAGGTTCAGTATCTATATGTCTATCGACATACTTAGCAGCACACAACTTGTATTCATCCGTCACACCCATCCCCCCACTAGATTTAATGACCCTTCTAAAGGAGGATAAAAAACACGTGGCGAAGAACCCCTCGAAGGAGGGGGCAAAAATGGGTGATCCAGCGAATCTCCGCAAGGAGGCCCTGGAGCCTGCGAGGGGGGCTTCCAATGTGATCCGGACGGTTTCCCCCGGGGAGGCCCAAAAACGGGCAAAAGAGGCCAAACGGCTGGCGGAGATACGCTTTAAAGGACAAGACTCCGAGGATGCGCGAGGTCCGGTCAAAATGCAACGGGAGATCAAAAAGAAGAAAAATGCCCTGCAAAAGGTACTGAAAAAGATAAAAGGTTTGAAGCCCGACGGGAATGAGTATGCCCAGGCTAAACTAGAGGAGGCTCAGCTGCTTCGGGAAATTGATTTGATTGAGAGTAGCTTGGAAGGTGAAGCGCAGAAGATCCTCGATATTCCTAGTTCCGCAGCGGCTGTAGCAGCGTTGCCGTCAGAAAATGCCAAAACACCTATCACAATTTCCCACCAAACTGACAAGGTGAAGGAGAAAGAAGTATCTGAGATTAAGGAACAGGACGTTGAGGAGGCCCGTAGAAGGCTGCAGGATCTTGTGAAGCAGGCAATGCAGTCGAACAACCACATTCAACGAAGGCATTTGACGCCTCGACGATCGGTGGTACATCCTTGTGTAGCTGAGGTGGCGTTAATGATCGAGGAAATGCGAATTGTGGGCGGAAATGCGCGTACCATGGCCACCATTTATGCTTTTGGCGAGATGCTCAAGTTCACCACCTTATTAGCGGGCTCCTCTCTGAAGGATGTCAACACGACGATGTTTGAAAAACTTGTCGAGGATAATTTTGCCGTTTTACGGCGCAAACGGGAGGCGTCAGTTGGGATGTACTACGTGAAGAAGGCTTTCTTAAAGCGAATGGTGGCGGCGCGGGATAAAGGAGACCAATTAGGGGACCCACGGGAGGTCGCTTTACGACTCCTTGGCTCATTGGAGGCGGAACTCTGCCTGTCGATTAAGACCATCGTGGAGGATCGCTCACTGCCCTACGTCTCGAACCAGGACACGATTTTAGTTTTCGGGCGCAGCAGCGTGGTGGAGTTCATCCTACTTTCCCGCGTGGGGGATCCGCCGCGGCGGCCGAAACGGGTGATTGTGGTGGACTCCGGCCCCCTCTTTGAGGGCCGCGCGCTCGCGTACAAACTCACGGATGCCGGGATTCCCGTCACCTATGGCCTCATCACGGCGTGTTGTATGCTCATCCCGAAGTGTACACGGGTTTTTATCGGGGCTTCGTCGGTTTTGCAGAGCGGGGATGTCTTCAGTCGATGTGGAACGGCCCTCGTCGCGGCCTGCGCGAAGTCGTTTCGGAAGCCGGTCCTGTGTTTTGTCGAGAGCTACAAATTCGCGGCCGAGGTGTGGATTGGGAATCTGGCGCAGAACACCAAGCTCGTGGATGTTCGCGATCAGCCCTCGTTTAACTCGAGTGGGGTCCACAGCCCGCTAATACGCAACCTTTTACCTCCACGATTATTCGCGAATGATCCGCCACACCGGATTTCCGAAGACCGCCACTCATGGAAAGACGGCAATGCGGCGTACTACGGGTCTTCATGTGCATCAGGGTACTTATACGACCTCACGCCTGCTACCTATGTTGATATGATCGTGTGTGAAATGGGCTGCCTTCATACCTCTGCCGTTATTGCCGTTATTAAAGACCGTGAGGGTCTCGAGGCTGCGCCTCTTATGTAAGGTGTTTATTGAAAAGTGGACATATATAGGATAGAATGATCTCAAGGAATTCCTTGATAAAGGGCCGGTAGGCAATAATAATAAAAGAGAATTTATAATTTCAACGTGTAAAAATTTTCAATTGCTCAGTTATAGTATATAAAATGCATATTGGTGAGTTTATACATGCTTGTACATATTTGTGCGCGCCTTTTTCTTTCTTGGTCATGACCTTATATGTTTGCAAAATGTCCAAGATTAATGGATATACTTACTAGTGTTTAGCAATGCGTCAACTGACGCTGGTGTAGAAACAGAAACATTACTACAGAATCAGGCCTATTTTGCATTATATGTACTGAATTTGTCGCATATCGGATTAAAAAAATTTTTCATCCATTTTATGTATATTTTTCGAAGTTCAATGGAACAATTCCATTTTAAAATTATCGAGTAAATTAACCTTAAATGATTTTCACTTTTTTTTGATTCCCCTTTACGACTTTTTTTCATTTCAGTATGATTTTTTTAAAGAAGAAAAGTGATAAATTCTTCTTTTTTCTATTAGTCTGCTTATATTTAAAAATTGTAATTTATCCTTACAAATAACTAAGGTTTAGACAACACAAGGGAGTTTTTTTTGTAAAAAATAGGGTCCTGTTAGGGATTAAGCAAAAACAAAGATTTCTTAATATTTTTCTAGAAAATCAACTTGGATTACTTTTCTTGTTTTTTTTCTAGACTGAAGACATATTTTTATGAATTTGGATTTACCGTTTTTGAGGGAATCTTCAGGCAATTTGATACATAGGTAAATTCCATTTTACTATTTTTTAGTTATTGTATTGCTTCAACTATTTTCGGAAAGGTTGTTTGTTTTTCCTCAGCTTTTCAGAGGTTTAAATTGATTTTGCCCTTATATATAAAACTAAAAAATCAAAAAAATTAGGATTGTGTGCATTCATTCTGAGCATACACACAGATCAAAATATTTCCATATTTATCTCTCTCTCTCTAAATATATATACTATAAAAGTGAAATATATATATATATATATATTATAACCCTACTACTGATTGCATTGAAAAAAAATGGATTGTTTTTTAATTCATCATAAGGACACTCTAAATGGGCTGAATGCCGCCGAGCGATCCCCGCGGTGTCACCCTAGCCCTGGGGCGGTCCAATCCTCGGTAGGCCGTGACTCGTTCCTTGCGGAGGACCCCTCTTCCGGGGGTCCATCCCCCACAGGCCGTCCCCACGTCATGAGGGATGGGCAGTCCACTGGATCATCCACTGGGTCATCCATTAGGGAGTTGGAGTTCTCGACTTTGGGTTTTGTCACCCCGCGTGATGGATCGCCCACGGTGACCCAGGCGAGGGACGAGCCGCCCGACTTAGTGGCCCCCCCCCCTAAGGGGGTCTCCTCCTCCTCCTCCCTGACCGAACGGGGCCCGGACGAGGTCGAGGAGTGTTGCATTTGTCTGGAGCCCTACACCGCGGAGAACCCGAAGATCTACGGGGGCTGCCAGCACCCTTTCCACCTGCCCTGTTTGCTGTCCTGGAAGCAGCGCAGCAACCTCTGTCCGATCTGCTGCACTGAGACCCTTCGCGGGGTTGATGTCGTTGAGAGCACGGACCTCGACGGGGGCGTCGAGGCGAGGACGCACAAGCGAACCGCGCGCTCCAGCATTGCAGAGACCCTTGATGCCGACACCGCCTACGCGCTGAAACTTCAAAAGATCTACTTTCGCCGTATGCTCCGACATGAGCGGTTGGCGAATGCC